CTGTGTGTAGTGAATGCTGAAATCCAAGAAGCCGTCGCTGGATCCAATCCACCATTTCTTCACTCTGGTTCTCTTCATCCTCCCTTCACTCTGCTAAATTTTCGTTTTTCATTTAATTAGCACTGTATACAATTCTCATAAGCTGTGAGAAGTATAATCATCTTAATAATTAATCAAATTGTTTCTGTATCTATCTGTTTTGTTCATATTTTTGTTTGTTTGCAATTTACTATGGGCATTAGCAGATCCTAAAATCCGTTCATAATTCTGGGCATTGATGATAATCACGAGGAGATTAGAAGAATGGGTTCTAAGCATTCAAATATTCTTTACTAGGTAATTTACCAATTTAAACGAATTTAGAAAATTCTGCACTTTCTTGGATTCAGTTGGGATGATATGGAAAAAAGGAAACTCTTTTAATTATTCTCATGAGTTGTCATTATTAATTGTGATGTCTCTTTGCTTTCGTCACACGATAATCCCACCCTTTTTTTCTTCACATTCCCTTTCATGCCCTGTTTTCCTCTTCATCTGAGCTACAAATTAGAATCACAAACGAGAAGAATCCTTGTCATTTTTTTCAAAAAAAATCTTCTTGGGCAAATTTTCCTCGTGTGTCAGTGTTGCATGGGTAAATTTCTGGGTTAATCTTGTAAAGTTTTTTTACCTCGTATTTACTTTCATAAGTGGAGGAACAGACCTTGGGCGCCCCCACACTACGATCCGTGAGGGGATAAATGTATAATCTCAATTTGGTCTATAGAGAGGCCGTCATGTACCCAGTGCGCACAAGGAGCTATTACAAATAATAGAACTCCCACATTGCCACTATCGGGATTCGACCATAGGATTGACGGACTTGACATCCTCTTCTTGGACCAGTTGAGCTACCCATGTGGGCTTTCATATTTACTTTCATAGATATCAAAGATTAATTTACCCTTTTCATATGTACTCATACATGCATCTCCTATTTGTTTATGATCAATGAGATTCTTGAATTTTCAAAGAATTCAGATTTGGCATTCTTGATTGTGTGGGTCCTCTCATTAATTTTCTTTTTTTTCTTTTCTGTAGTTCTTCAAAATGGGAAACTTGTTCTGAATGATTTGGTTTATGAGGTGAAACAGAATCTGGAATGGACATACCGAATCGAAAGCATTTCAGATTCTTGGGCCTGTACATCAATTCCTATGCATTGAAATGTGTGGTTCTGTTTGTGACTGCTTTGGTCTGCAGAGTTCTTCTTTTCCCCAGACTATCAAACATCTCGCTCCCATCTGAATCCGAGGCTTCGATACAGAAACCAAAGTTTTTGGAGGTTCCACAGATAGTATGGGGATTGAACAACCAGAAGATTGCATTTGCAAGAGCATGTTTGACTGCAAGAATGCTGAAAAGGAAGCTTTTGATGCCGAGTTTGAGCGCTTCGCTCTTCTACAAGGAAGTTGACCTCTTGGATCCCATCCCATTCCACAAGGTCTTCCAATTCGAAACCTTCAATTCGCGCTGCTCGGATTTTGTCCAATTGGGACACTTTCCCAAGGTTTTAAATCGCAGCGATGCAGTTGAGCTCCAAAAGGGAAGTGGGAGGAAGTGGACAGTGGAGAAAGACTATGACCAGTTACTAGAGTTCAGAAAACACCCATATGATCAGTACCAAGTGGTTAAAGTTGTTGGGAAAAACCCATTTTTATGGCACGACCATTGGCCAGCTAAGGACTACGCGAGGGTCTTCGACTGCTTAGTCTTTGTAGATCAGATATCCAAAGAGGCTGATAAAGTCATCTCTAAAATCAGAAATGCAATGGGAAAGGTCAGATTGTCTCAGCCAGCAGCGCCTTATATGGCAGTTCACATGAGAATAGAAAAAGATTGGATGATTCATTGCAAGAAATTGGAGCAGAGACTAAACATCACTGAGATTTGTAGTAGTAAGGAGGAGATTATGGACCGAGTCCGAAACATTATAGGCCTTAAAATCCCAATAATTGTTTACCTCGCGGTTGCGGATACCCTTCTTGAAGGTGAAGACTCTATTTTGGAGGGTTGGGACGAAGGGTTGATCGTACGGGAAAAGAAGAGATTGGGTGTCATGGGAATTTACAAAAAACACCCTTACCTTATTCAATCAGCCATAGACTATGAGGTCTGTCTGAGGTCAGATATCTTTGTAGGCAACAGTTTTTCAACATTTTCTAGCCTTGTGGTTCTTGACAGGACTCAGAAAATGATAATATCGGGCAATGCAAGAATGTGCGGCGTGGGTGCCCGTTGGCCTTCGTTTGCTTACAATTTGTTAGGGCAATCTAACGGTCCTCGTCCGTGGGTGACAAACTTGTCCGATTCGAGCTTGCAGTCAATTAGCTATGGCTCTAATCAGATTCATTGCTGACTATATGTCACTGGGAAACTGTAGTATTGGCTCTACTTTTAGGGAACAAGTAAATTTTGTGTAAATGAAAATGTGAAGAAAATTGTTACAGCATTAATTGCAAAATTCTAGACAAGCTATATTTTGTACTTGATGATTCTTTGTATACATCACATTTGATTAAGTAATTCTGTAAGACAGGACATTGGGACCGGTTTAGAGCTGTGATTTGCTTGTCCTTTGGTATGATAGCTAGTTAGGGAACATTTGTATATCTGCCCCACAATGGATGCCACCATCGGCAAAACGAAACAAAAACCATGTTTTTAAATTTATTTAAATTTTGGTATGGAATAAGAAGTAAAACTTGCGTTCTACAAAACATAAGGTGATAACAATATTATTTCTATACCAAGTTTTAAATATATTATTTTTATTTTTTTTATTTCTCCTAGGTTTAGATAAAATAAATTTTAAAAATTTGGGATTTCACCTCATTTTAACTATCACGTAGGTCATTGTGGGACAGAAGGAGTATGATTGAAAGTTATGCTCTCTCTTTCCTAAATTAATTTTTCCGGTTGCCTTTTCATGTAGTTTATGAAAAGTGATATTTTGTTGAGATTTATGGAAAGGATGAACCATTTATTTCATTCTTTTTAAGGAATGATAATTTTATTTTGAGATAACCCAGAAAGAAAAAGTAGGAAGATTAATTTGGGACGAAAAGAGTATAAAGTGTAAACAAAAATTACTCCGTACAAAATTGGAAGATTAATATGTTTCAAAGCTTCATTTTGAAACAAAGTTTTAATTGGTGTGCATAAATAAACAATTACCAAGTATGTCTCATGAGAAAAGTAAAGCTGGTAGGCATGCGTAATTGGCAAGGTAACAAGTATTAATGAGGTAAGGTTTGATTTCGCACAACTATGCTGGAAGACAACTATGTTAAATATTAGGTACAGACTTTACGTTTTGCCACTAATCTATGTTAAAGTTCAATTTACTTTCTCTCAAGTGATCTTCTAATCAGATCGGTTACTACGAGAAGTAATTGGACTTTATTCGTAGATTGGTAGTATGAAGTGAAGTTTGCACCTGGTACTTAAAGAGGTCCTATGATTAAGTACAGACGCCCCAGTGCAGATGCCTGAATCGAATTTGGATCTGTCTGTTGGTATTTCTTGTTTTTGTCAACTGCATAACGTTCACGGATCGGGCTTTTTTTTTGCATGTGAAAAATATTGTTTTTTTGCATGTGAAAAGTATTGTTCTTTTTGAGGCTTTACGTTTATGACGGGGGTGATTGGGTGATTGGTCCAAATCAGGGCCCTGCAGAAACAATAAATGCAACATTGACTACATGCTTTAACGGTTTTATTAATTGGCAATGCATGTGCATTATTTACTATTGTCATACCTTGATGAGGAGTTGCGTCCGATGTTTTCTGTTTGAGATACTCAGCAAGCAACAGGTAAGCATGTTTGGGTTTTGACCTGGCCAGGGAATTAACCAATATGTTCTCTCTCATAACAAATTTATGTTTAGCTTCCACAAAATTTAGGAGGAATATAGAGAATGCTATACGCATATTTTAGTGTAATTGGAATAATGGAATAATTATTTGACCAATTTTATCATAATAATCACAAAAAAAGTTCAGTGGTGCGGAGTTCATATTTCGTTGAGTTCGTTATGATAAAAATTGTGTTTAACTCTAATTATGTAATGGGGGTCGGGGGCAGCGCCTGGCTGGGATCGAGATGTATTAAAAATTCATTTGAATTTTTTTCCCGGATTTTGTATTTAACCAAATTCGATGGAGTGTGTATCTCTATTTCGCGCAATTAGACGCGATCATCTGAGAAAATCGCGAACGGCAACTCTTCATCCTTTCCAGCGTCTTTAAAGCCTCTCGCAAGTTTTGTCATCAGCATAGGTTTGGAAATCATCACATCTTCCTCATACTTCGTTCTAAAATTCTCTGAATTGTATCTGATGGAAAGATTTATGTGAAGCGACAAATTCTTTCAATTTGAAAGTGACTACACGTCTTTCAGAGATTCCATGTAACGCTCCAAAACATATCCTAGAATTATTAATAGATAATTATTTAAATTAATCAAATTTGTTTTGATTAAAATAAATTGTTGTTGGGCTTTGGACAAAATATTATATGTTTGATATCCAATATTACAATTAGGATAAACCTCATAGAGATAAATCCAACATGATTGACTTATTGTGTAACCTTGATTGAGAACCTGTGTAGACCCAAGTTAAAAATACATGAAGAAATTATTTATGATGTAAACTTTGAAATGATTTATTGAAATAAATCATGAGAATAAATAATATGAATGGAATGTAAGAACCTTTTTGAGTAAAGGTCAATTAAACCAATTTTGAACTCTCTGTCAAAGTCAAACACTTAAAAATATGATGTCGGAAAAAGTATTACAAATAATTATGAAAGAATAATACAAAAGTATTAATGTTAAATTTTATTCTAACTTAAGAAAAGGTTTTTATTTGATCAATTGTGACTCTTTGGAGCAAAAGAAAGTGTGAAACTGTGTGTATATGTGGTGCATTGGTGGGGGTGGGGGTGCAGCAAATCAAGTGATTACATGTGTATTTCTGTATGAGGCTCTCTTCTAAGATGAGAGAGCAGCATATTATGTTATCCATAGTGATAAAACGTCTATTAAAAAAAAGAAAAGCAAGCGCCATATTAATCTACAATAAGGAGCCATGTAAGTTTGTCCAGAGTGAGATTCTCTGCATCTCCATCCATACCAAACAGATTTTATTTGTTTCCAAGGAAATAGCCATATTAATTCGGGCTGTTCACTGTAGTGTGTCTTCATAGTAACTGTTGTCGTTGATGAGAGAGACGAAGCGCTCAAGCCAAGGGAGCTGGTGAAGATCCTTCATGGGGTCCACGTAAGCCTGCGAGGGGGGAGGAGGAGGGTGGGATTGGTGGTGGTCCGCGGTGGTTGTGGTGGCGGCAGTCAAGCTGAAGCTTCCGGCAAGAAACCTCTGGATGAGTTCCAGTTGGGACCTCTCTTCGTCTGAATACGCGTCCATGATCATGGGAACAGGCTGGAAAGAGTCCCATCCCAAGTGCTGGTCATCAAGCCGTTGCAGGTGTGGGGGCAGCTCCCGCGGGTAGTAGTTTTCGTCCCTGAACCTGCACGTGCACGTCTGCTCACCATCACTGTACTCTGCACCACATGAATAGCAGAACTCGTACCCGCACCCCCTGCATACGCAAGAGAAATTGTAAAAAAACATCATCCCAAAATTACACCATTTCAGTTGAGGCACCTACGGTGCTCCATTCGTAAAATTGATTGTTCCTACCCAGTAACACCTCCCCCCTAAACCTTTCTCCCATGTTTCCCCACACCCCCCCCCCTCTGAATCGCTGATTTGGCTGCAATTAAGAGGAGGGACAGTGGGGTGGGGGGTGGGGTGGGGGTGGAGGAAAACATGAGAGAGAGAGAGAGAGGTTTAGGGGATGTGTTAGGGGGTAGGAACAATCAATTTTACGAATGGAGCACCATAGATGACTATATTGGAATGCTGTCACGGTGGTGTAATTTTACACTTCGTCTAATGTCAAATTGATTGATATGAAGATGGATCAGTTCCTGCCAAGTGCAAGAATTTTATGCAAAACATGGTAATTCATTATCGTTGTTGCCATTGGCAGTAAAATTAAACTCCATGAGTGGAACAGGGATTTTCGCTCACAACCACTGAAAAATCCAAAAGCATTTGTGTTTGACTATAGTCAGACCAGAGTCATTGTTCAAGCAAAGTACGAGAAGCAGAATTTCTATAAGGCAAATGAAAGACCGGTTGGTGGAGGTTAAGCAGTTTTTGTGTATTAATCGAAGCCGTAGGTAGACTGGTGTTACCTTTTCAGTTCTTTTATAATTTCACGTTGTAAAATTACAGCACCACCAACAACGAAGCCTGTGAAATCGGACCCTACTTTTTGGGGGATTTTACGGGGCTTGTTTTTATAATTTTATAAGGTTGAATTATAAAACAACTGAAAAGATAACACCACTCTAGTTTCAATTTCAATTAACTTACAAGAACTGCTGAACAGCCACCAACTGGTCCTTCATTGTCAAATCAGTCCAAAACCAAATGTTTTTGCCAACACGATTTGTACCTTAGAAATGAATTTTCTAGATAAGACCAAACAAAACCAATCCTTGACTAGGCCAGTTCCCCTTCTTTGCCTCAGTTGTTTTTATATTTTCTGATAATAAACTCAGCTAGTAATAGTAACTTAAATGATCATTCAACTGGTTTTAACTTAGGTGCCGTTTGTTTACCTCTTATTCACAGACTTTACTCTTGATGGTTTTTCCTGCTTATGTGGTAAGTTGTGGTCCTACTTGTATTTTTTCTTACCTCTCATTCCCTAAGCATATCTCTTTCCACATTAAGCACTCCTTATTGCTGCTTCAACAACAATAACCCAGAAAAAATCCGACAAAAGTAGGGTTTGGGGAGGGTATGTACGTAGACTTTACCCCTACTCAAAAGTAGAGAGGTCATTTCTAAGAGACCATTGGCTTGAGCAACACAGAAGACACAAAAGACACAAACACAACAACAACAACAACAACCCAGTTGAATCCCACAAGAGTAGGGTCTGGGGAGGGTGTGTGTACGCAAACCTTACCCCTACTCGAAAGTAGAGAGGCTGTTTCCAAAGAGACTCCCGGCTCAACGTCGAAAGTTGCATTGCTTGACTAACTGCTATTTCATTAATTAAAGAAGCGCAGGCATTTTAGAGATCCATTTTGATTTATTCCATCACACTCCAAAGCCAAAAAATGGTGAAATTTTGGCTCCATCGTAGATGATGGAAAGAAAAAAGACACGAACACAATAAGCAAAAAAACAAACTGAGTGGAAACTTCACATCCTTATTGGTACTTATGATTTTTGAAATGTCCTGCCCCATCTCATTGATTTCTTTATATATGGCAATACGGGTTACGATGCGTGAGTGATGTTATTTTCAATTCATTTTATTTAAATATTAGTATAAAATTTAAAAATAAAAATTATATAGTTAAAAAATATATCAACAAATCTACAAAAAAAGGGGTGACATAATCACACAACTTTGACATAAGTAGATTATTTTATCAAATGATATTTGAAGGAATGTTAAAAAGAAGTTTTAGCTTGAATAATAAGCAAGAGGGACAGAAGTAAATGATTATACTCCATATTATATTCCTTACACCACAGAATAAGCTTTCCATTCTCTTTTTTTGTTTTTCCTAAAATAAACTTCATAATCTATTTAAGAAAAACATTGAATGGTTCACACAATCACATTATTTCTCCCCTCTTTATATAGCGCAACCATATAATTTTACTTTTTCTTTAAACTCCATAAAAAAAGCAAATGAGAACTTCAATTTGGGAGGGAGAATAGAATTTAAAATGCCAAATAATTCCTTCAAATGACTTTGCCACTGATTCATGTTTACAATGATCATACCTCATCTCTAGGATATCGTAGACAATTCATCATATTTTTTTATTGATTATAGAAAGTGCACAACTAATTCCAGACATAAGAAAACAAGAAAGTAGAGAACTTAATCCAAAATGGAGTATATATTTATGTTCTTTATATGTTCAAATAAATTTTCGTCAATCAACACATTAAAACAACAATACTACGTACACCGGCCTTCTTCTCCAGACCCTTCATGATCACAAAAACACCTGCCACCTTAGTCTTCTAACAAATCTTTTATTTGACTTTGAGGTCTTAGATTTAATAAAGATTTAACTTATCTTGTCTAAATCACGAGATCCGTGATTTGCACAAACTAAGCTGGTCATTGGCTAGTTGAATTGTGAAATACCCCTACCGTCCCACAAAACATTTCCTCTTCACTTTTTGTTTGTTCCAAAAAAAATCTTCATTTTTTAATTAAAATCACATATTTACCCCTATTAATTATTAACCGACATGTTGCATCATACCTATTTATTATTAACCTACGCACCAAATCTGTCCCAGAGTATTTCCCCGGTTTTGTTTTGGCACAATAACCAAGGTGGGGTGAAAAATGTCCGAAATGCCCCTCGTTTTGTGTTGGGGCCCTTCCCAACCCTATCAATTGTTGCCCCCCCCCCCACAGTCGGCTGCCACACAGCCCACCCCCACATCCGCCATCACTCATTCGCCGCACAACCCACCCAGTAGAGCACCGTCAAATCATCCACCTGAAGATAATTAAGAAACTAACAAGATTTGAGAGGGACACTCTGACAAGGGTTGAGATAGGCGTAGAGGTGTGTTTCCAGGTGGTGCGGCACTCTAAATGAAGATCTGTTACTCCATTTCAAGCTTCTCCACTCTTGGGGTCTGTAAATTAACAACCCAACCCTGATTCAAGCTTCACCATTATTGAGGTTTTTAAATTAACGGTTCGGACCCACCTCTAATCTGCTTTACTGCAAAACTCACTGTAGCATCAATGTCTGATTTTTCTAGAAAGCCTTGATCTAATCTGCAGCACGTGGGACCTGAATCTGTACTTGGAACGATAACCTTCCTCCACCAAGATAGAGTGTGAGAGTTAACCTAGAAGCCATTAATCAGGGGTATAATAAACTTTTCCTCTCATTTGGTTTTCCTAAAAAGGAAAGTAGACAAATACTCTGGTACTGCCTTAAAAGGAATGGTGCACAAATACTCTGGAATGGGAGGAGTATAAAACAAGGGTAAAAGGAAAGTAACTCCCAAATTACACTTATCTTAAATATCAACTTTATCAAATGTAGAAAGGTTGGTTGGGACGGAGGGGGTATCAATTAAATGCATTGATACCCCCTCCGTACACATGGTAAATGCATTGTCTTCTTCATAAATAATCCAACAGTGTATGATCCTTAATTAATCACGTGCTAGTGGTTTGTACACATGCAAAGAAGCGCATAAATGCTCCTGTGAAGATGTGTGGGAAGTTGGCTCTAAGGTACATGAGGAGGTGTAGAGGTAGGCCGAACAAGAGTTGGAGTGAAGTGGTTAGACATGATATGATTTTGTGCAGCTCACCGAGGGCATGACTATAATAAGAACCTTTGGGGGTTGAGGGCTAATGTTGTAGGTACAATTTTTTAGGAATGGTTAGCTTTGTTTTAGAGCTTTTTGGGTTAGTTGGCCTTGTAGGGTACTTGCTTTGTGAACTTTTCATGTGTATGTCTTTGTATGCTTTTCTTTACTTCACAAAGTAGACTTTATAGTATTCCCTCAGTCCCTCTTTAAAGTTAACACATTGGTTTTATCATTTTTATTTATCTAAATATCAAGGTAATGTTTAAAAAATAAAATTTATATTCCTAAAAACTACATCAAAATTCTACACAAGAGGTGACTTGACTATGTTAATGTTACAAAGGATTAAAGCAAAAACAATGCAGGAAAAAATTAAAATACTCTATACTTTTGTGGAACTTTTGATATATATTTTAATTATATACATTTTATTTTTAAATTTTACTTGTAATCAGTAAAAGTGAAATTAATAAAAGGATGGACGAAGTATAATTCTAGAAAATCATGGAAATGAAATTAGAATAAAGCAAAATTTACAGGAAGGAATCCTTACTCGCAAGTGACGTGGTAGCAGCCATGTGCAGGCACAATCATCGACCGGCAATGTAAACAACATGTACGCCTTTGACTTGCAGCATCCCTTTCATCCAGTGGTAGATGTTGGGACCTTTCACATGTGACTGAAGGGTGCCAAGGCGCGATACAATCCACACATATATACCTCTGACAAGAAGGGCACTGCATGCGCTTCTTGTCAGGGTCGTGGAGTGAGCACGTCCTTCTTGAAAAGTATTCATGAGAATCAACATAACCTAAACAGCTAGAATATGGGCAGATATATCTATCTTTATAGAAAGCATACGCTTCCGCAAGGATTCTCTCCAATGATTCATACGATGCAACTGGCAAAAAATATTTACATTGTACCGATGAGATATAACGCGTGCAGCTCAGATGAGGGCACCTAATAGGAATTTCTGCAGATTTTACTTTCCCTTCAACGTAAGCCTTCAGGCAATGAGAACAGAATTTGTGGGAGCATTTCAAAGTCATGATCATCGATTTGAGCTTGTCCTCACAACATATAGGACATCTTTCTGTTGATTCATCTCCCTTGAGACACTGGGAAACAACACCTATTGCAACTCGAGCAAGCTCCAATGCTCTTGCAAGATCACTACTACTCCGAGCAACGTTTAGAACAAATACTTCCAAGTCATTGACATAGTCTAATATCCTCATCCTCAGCGCAATGAGGAGAGGATTCTCAATCGCCTTTTCATGCATAATCTGAAAATGGGTATACATTATAAGGAGCACAATGAAGGGTAAAAGTCACTAAAATTTGAAAGAAATGTCTACATTGGTGCAATCATTGCTTAAGAATATTACAAGAGAATATTAATCAACTGTTTAACAAGATAATAATTGTTCCAGCAATCAGAAGAAACAAACTTTCATGATCTTTTTTACATTGTTAATAACATGTAACCGTAATAGATCACAATTAGCCTTTGCTGGGCTTTTTTAGTAAATTTGATATGGACCGCGTCTTGCTTTTGTTAGGAAAATAACATGTCAAATGATTAAAGATGACTAGATCACCAAAATCTGATGGCATATACAGATAAAAGCTCATTACTACCCAGTCTACAAAAAAAGGTAAGATGAAAAGAGCATTGATAATGCTAAGGATTTAGTTCACAGTCCAAAACGGCATCATAAGGGAACCAAGCAACATAAAAGATTCCAAAACAGACACTTATACAAAGAAGATGAACCCCAACCTGATTGTATAGAATCTCAGAGTCTGTAACAGCACACACTCGCCTAATTTTATTTTGAGCAGCATGTGCCAGCCCATCCATTAAGGCTAAATAATCTGCAGTCAACTGATCCACAAAGAAACCAAGTTTTTTCTGCACTTCCATAGGAGTGGTGCTTATATTCCTCTCCATAACCACTCCGATTCCAGATGACCGGGAATCACCAGGGCCACTTACAGAAATGCCTTTGAAGTACAATTTTACAGAATGTTCATCAAGACATATCTCAGGGTTTTCAATTCTCAATTCCTTATCCTCTCGTCCCGGCCCTTCCGGCAACTCAATCCCAGACTGATCATCAAGATCTACCTCAGAGGTTTCACTTTCATCTTCCTCCTCATCGTGTTCTTCTTCCACAACTAACTCCTCTGATCCCTCCGGGCTCTTCTTCAACTCCTCCTCAAACAGTTCATGGAGATCTTTCTCAGATACTTCACACTCTTCCTCCACTTTATCTTCATCATCTCCATAGCAGCTTCTAAACTCTTCTTCATCGTCTTCTAAACGATCCTCCTTGTCTGAAATCAAGGATAACCCATCACCGCGATCTCTTTTCCCATCCATTTGAAATAATTCCAAGACGCCAAAAAAGGGCTTTTGAGACGCTAGGAATGCTTTATTCTATCTACGAATTGAAACTCCAGATTCCAAAACGTTCAATCCTTCAGCAGAAAAGTTCAAAGATTACCCATTTTGGCCAGATTCAAACCAAATCACAAAACAAGGAGAAAAATCGTCCTCCCTGTTATGATTCCTATTCCTACCCTCGCGAAAAAGAGAGCTTTCTCAGATGGAATAAAAGGAAAGAAAGAAAGGCAAGACTGAATGTGCGGGGTTTATTTTGACTCAACTGGGGCGTTACATTTACTTTTAGTGAAATTTGCACTAACTAAAACATATATCATTTCTTAATGTAGGACTTAAAATTTTTTTATTCCCTAAATAGACTTAATAATGTCTAATGAGAAGAATAATATCTAATAATGATGGACATTTAATTGAATAATAACTAATTGATAATGACCAAATGTTTTACATTGAGAAATAAAAACATATGGTCCTATATTGAGAAAGCCATTATGTTTTCGTCCTACTTATGTAAATTTCTCTTACTTTTATTCATTACTTAAAAATAAAAATTACGGATTATAAGTTGTGATTGAAATTATGATTGTAACTATATGTTTGTATGTTTAGATCTTAAACAGTTATGATTATGAATAATGAAATTCTTATGAAAAATTGCTTATCTTATGATGAAGGTATTTGAGTGATTATAAAACTACTCTGTTAAATTAATTATTAAGACTATCTAGAATTGAAGAATTTTAAGATAGACCTCATGTGATTGACCTCATGTGATCAATTTAGTTAGGTCTTGCAGGTGTGATGTTCGGTGGCCAAGGTTAAAACGTACGTACGGAATCCACAAACCTAACTAGAGGATAACTCGTTTAGGGATAGCACCCAACCCGACAGTGAGGTGACCGTAGGTGTAGACACGGTACGGTTCCGGGCGGGTTCCGGTTCCGGTACCACCACCCCTTGGTACCGGTACCGTGACCGGACCGGGCGATACCGGTTCCGGTACCCGGACCGACGGTTCCGGTACCGGACCGGCCGGTTTCGGCCACCCCCCGTTTTTTTTTTTGCTTTTTTTTAAAATTTTTAAAGTGTAAAATTGTAAATTTGCAATTGTTAAAGGAAAGAATGAAATAAAAAATCTAAAAATGTAGTTGTTATTTAAATATCGTAAAATGAGTAATACACGAACTGGAGAACAACTACATTTAATATCCTAACGGTTCAAAAAAAGTGACAAGGTAAAGAACCGTAAAGAAACCCTCGAAGGAGCTTATATATCGCTTACCTAAAAAAACTAATTACATATTTACATTAACGTAAAAAAGTTTATAACTTATTCCTCAGAACTCGGACTTCCATCTGTGGTTGCATTCATGTAATGCTCTGAATTGAATTCGTACCCTGACTCTTGAGCTCGACGTCTTGCTAAGAGCCAATCTTGGTTGCAAACAAGTGTTTCAAGAGATTCAGCGTTAAGACAACTTCGGTAGTCGGTTAGAATGTTGCCGCTAGCACTGAATTCTCGTTCAACTGCTACGGTTGATACCGGGACGGACAACACTTGTTTTGCTAGCATTCCGAGACATGGGAACATGTGTTCGTTCCGCTTAACCAATCTGAGGACGTCAAACTTTGCAAGATGCCCACCGACTATTCCTTTAAAACCTTTTTTGATTTGGGGGGCAGAGGAGGTGCTGTTTCTTCTGGTACAGTACCGTATAACCCTTGATATTCCTTAAACAAATTCTCAAAAAGAGTTAGAACATTATCTCTTTCATTTTTCCTTTCTATTAAAAGGTTGTAGTAATAACTATATTCATCTAAAAAAACAAGTGTAGTAACAGGAATAATACATATTTTATAAATATCAGGAATGTACAAATAATAATCACACCATTTATCTCTCATAGGAGAGATATAGGGGTACAAATCTGGATCAGCCATACTTTCACGAAAACATGTTGCGATTGTAACGCATCTTTAAAAAATGTATTTGTAGTTGGTTGGTAAACATGCGAAAAAGTAAGAGTTGCGTTATTAAAAACTTCTAATACGGCATTCAATTTTTCTACAATAACAAATTCAATAGGTGAAATGATTATACGAAGTTCATCCCTAAAAAATTCAGCAAGTTCCTCTTTATAGCTTAGAATCCGTGATATCAACTTGTAAGTACTATTCCATCTAATGTTGATATCTTTGGCAAATGTTATTTCTCTTCTACCCTTAGACTTACAGAATATCTTCTAGGACCTCGAAATAAGACGAGCCCCCCAAATTCTTCTAATTCCGTCTTTAATATTCGTCAACCCCCCTCCCCCAATAGCTTCTAGTCCCTGTTGAACACATAAATTTAAAACATGACAGGCACACCGTTGATGCAGAAATCTACCCATAGTCGTAGTAGGGGGAAATTTCTCTAAGTCTAGGAATAGCAGCAGTATTATTAGTAGCATTATCAAAACCAAATGCAAACACTTTATCAACTAAGTTGTATTCCCGCAGAATACTCTGAAGCAATAGAAAAACATTTTCAGCAGTATGAGAATCATTGAAATCACGAAATGCAAAAACACGTTTATGCATAATTCAATTACTATCTATTCAATGACAAGTAACACCTATATAAGACAAATTATGATATATTTCACCCCAAATATCAGAACAAATAGCAACACGAGAACTAAAATTGAGAAAAAAATTTGCTAAATTTATTTTTTCAAGTTTATACTAGCGAATAATTTCTCGTTTAATTGTTTTTCTTGAAAAACCTCTTGCTTGAGGGTTTAATGCCTGTTGACTATAATCAATAAATCCAAGTTTTTCAGAAAACATGTATAGCGAATTTTCTTCACAAATCATTTCGGTCATTTTTTGCTTGTTTTGCTCGTCGCTATAAGAAAAAAGGCCGCCCTAACCGCTGTTAGCAAACCGAGAAATTTGGGTTTGCACTTCTTGTCGTCCCTTCTTTTTCACCGCGTATTTGGCGTACTCCAAGGGATGTCTCGACCTTAGGTGTTTTTCCGGACCACCATAACCGCCGGAAACTCCCATTTTAATGACGGCCCCACAATACTTACAAGTTCCATAAACTATGTCATCTTTTGTTTCTTTTTCAAAATGATAAACAAATAAATCTGATTCTAATTTTTTTACCTTTGTCCGGACCTCGAGAGGTCTCGAGCTCACCTGCCTCCTCGTCGACGTCGTTGCTGTGCGGTGTAGGCTCCTCGTCCCCGTCCAGATTGTCAGTCCTACTTCATCAACATCCTCGAATAAACTATCAAGAGTGGGGAGATTTGCGTCCCCTCTACCAGAAATGTACTGGTCGAATTCTTGATCCGTCATACCGTCCCTGATGAATTGATCGAGGATAGTAGGAAAGGAAGAGACAGAGTGTCTTCCTCGAGAACCGCGTGAGGTCAAAGCGTCGGATGTGGCTCTAGCTTTGCCTCTCCTCAAACTTTGGTTCACGGCGCCCATATCCACAGACCTTCTACCGGACTCTCTCGACATTTTAATATATATATTTTTTGATATTTAAAAAAATAATATATTAAATTTCGAAAATTTAATAAATTTTCGAAATTTTATATAAATTAAAATTTTGAATATTTCAAAAAGTAAAGAATATATTTAAAATATAAATTATATATTTAAATTATTTAAAGAATATATTAAAAAAAATTAATTATATATTAAATTTTGAAACTTTCGAAATATAATATCAGCAATAAACTAAAAATATATGATAATTAATAATATGAATAATGAGTGTATTAATTATAGGTTATTATGTAATATATTAATATATATATTTATACTATTATATGAATATAAATTGTATAAAAATTGAAAAGAAATAATAAGATTGAGAGATTGAGATAATGAGAGATGATTGAGAATTTGAGTGTGAATTTTTTGAAAAAATTTGGATTAATTTATAGGAGTTCCCCGCCTCCCCCCTCCCCTCACCCACCTCAAACGACTATAATGAGAGATGATGGATATTTGTAACGTCCCAAAACATACCCTAGATTTATTAATCAATAAATATTCAATCAATCAAATTTGGTTTTGATTAAAAATAAATTGTTGTTGGCCTTTGGGTCGAAATAAAAGATGTTCTGATATCCAATATCACAATTTAGATAAGTCTCGTAGAGATAAATCCAATATGTTGACTTATTATGTGATCTTAATTGGGAATCTGAGTATAGACCCAAATTAAGAATAAATGAAGAATTTATTCATGATGTGAACCTTGGAATGATTTATTAAATAAATCACGAGAATAAATAATATGGATGGAATGTAAGAACCTTTTATTGAGTAAAGGTCAAACAAATCAATTTTGACACTGTCAAAGTCAAACACCCAAAATCATGATGTCAGAAAAAGTATTACCAATAAGTATAAAAATCATATTGTTGGATAGAGTTCGACTGTCTCATCGCAACGGTGCAAACGGATTCCAATTCGGAGAAAGTTGTACGAAAAGTGTACCTCGACCGTGACCAAAATTAGTCCCAATCAAGGATGGCGCCTCCTCCTCAACTTAGCCGATTGGAGATCAATTCCTACGCAATATGATGTTTCACAATAAGAATGATGTTTTTGACAAATAAAATATTGTGTGATGCATGACGGTAAGTTAGGATGTTAACACCTGAAGCTAGACCACTATTTGTTATTGGATATTATGATGGTTATGATGATGATTATTATTTTTTTTTGAAGCAATGATGATGATGATTATTGATTGATGATTATGATGATTAAACTTTGATGGATATTATGATTAAAATGATAATTATAAATGATTAAATCATAATGAATATATTGATGATTGTGAAAATAATATGTATTGTTAAGGTTTCTAGAATTACTCTAAGATATATCTATATTAATTTTGATTTGAAAGGTATCTAGAAGAACTCTAAGATATACCCAAATGACCATTTTAGTTTAGTGATATTGATTTTAATGGTATCTAGAATAACTCTAAGCTAGATATACCATATTGATGTTGATTTTGAAGGGTATCTAAAAGAACTCTAAGATATACCCGTTTAAGTTAGGCTTTGCGGGTATGACGCCCGGTGGCTAGGGTTAAAACGTACGTACGGGATCCAAGAACCAAACTTGAGTACCTACTCGTTTGGAGGTGCCACCCAACCCAAAAGTGAACATTACGCTGTCGGTTTCTAGTTGACCTTAAGCGAAGGTAAGTGTAAGATCTTAAAAACCTTTTTGAAAATCTATATACGGAGTATTAAACTAGGCCTAGTTTAATGGTTGGTTAGGAATAACTTTTTAATGACCCGAAAACTAGCTTAATAGTTAGCCGTTATTTTAATAAAAATAAATATTAAATTTATTTACTCAAAAATATGAATTGTTTGTAAAGTTATCTGTTTTAAATAAAAATTAGGTTTTCAGGCAAAATACACAACGATATATAATTTGTTAAAATTGGATAACATATAAAGCGTGGTGAGTAAAATACAATTCAATAAATAAATATAAAATTTTATTATAACAAAATACTTGGCTAAACAATTACAAGTTGACCAAATTCTAAACGGAAACCAATTAGAAGCCGCCTACTGCCTTATATATACGGAGTATTCTGCTGTTTTCGTCATCGCCGCATCTCCTTTCTTCTTCTCCTTCGCCGACCGGACCAGAGAGTAGCGCGAGAGTACTCCGACGCAGGTTCTACGTGATTCAATTCCTCGCCGTCTATTCCTTTGCCCTCGCAGGAGATCAGCGCCGTCCATCGTCTCCGGCTTTTTCCTCTTTTTACGGGCGGGTTATTGAAGACGGGTAACGGAGCAGCGACCCTCGACCCTCTCACTCAGGATTTTGAATTCTTCAATTATTCAAGGTCAGAACGTAGACATCTAACGCTAGATTTCGTATATAGATTTGAAATTTTAATGCGTAGTTTCGTATGATTGATTACGTGGTTTATTTGGTTAAAGTTGATTTATGAATTATTAATATTATATGATATTATTGGAATTGATTGTACGAGGATGACCAGGTACGTTTTCTTACTTCCAATTTGTGTGATTTGCGTGATTTTAATCTTTAAGAACAGAATACGTATTGAATGATTTGGAATTGGGTTGATCTTGTATGTTGCATGACGGTAAGTTGACGGTGTTTACACCCGACACTAGAACACTAATTGTTGAGTATAGATGCTTATCTAGTTTGTTGTGATCTTCTTTGAATCTGGAATATGAAAAAAGAAATTTGAATACGGATAGGCTACCTAGCTGAACTGTAGGTAGACCGAGAAAACAGAATAAGGATACAATTATGAATAACTAGTCATGTGATGAGCCGGCGTGCACGCATGATCAGTTGGGTAAAGCATGCGCAGGGGGGTCGTAAATCTGCTCATGGATGTGAGTAGGTGGTCCCACCCAGCCGACGTTGGATGACGTTGTATCAAGCGAGTTCTTCCATGGATGTGGTTGAATCAGGACTCTAGAATAAAGAATTGGCCTTAGCCTAGGATAGCTTATGAGCTTAGAAATAAGAAAATGATTATGAAATTCGCATAAGGATTATGTGCCAATAATGCCTAAGGTATGGATGAGGAGAATTGGTAATCCACGTAAGTATGTTTGATTTATGAATTATTTGATATTAATGATGTTATTGATGTGTACTTGCATGATATTGTATGAAGTTATGAGCTAGTGGGTTCGTCTATGTGCATAGTTGAAACGTTAGATATTTTTTCCCACTTAGCTTCAATGCTGAGCGTTTAGCCCTTTTTCCTATTTGCTACACGTAGGTAACATGAATGATGAATAAGGAACTATCCCGGAGGGCAGCGAGGGCAGAGAGGTGGATGGACGCTGGATGGAGGAGTTATCCATTTTAATATTATAATTGAATTAGTTATGTTTTAAACGGCAAGAACCCAAAGTTGTATTTTGATTAAGTACTTGAAGGCTTCCACACCGTTTTGTTAACTTCGATGGATATTTAAATATTGTTTTTAAATTAAATTTTTTAAATTATTTTGAAAATTATTATGTCTGAATACCAATTTAGTGACAACCCGATCCGCTGGTCCTTGTATTCGGGTTACGCGGGTTGGGGTGTTACAAACTTAAACTAGAATATAATTAGTTTAAGAATTAAATTGGCCTTAAACTAAGAATAGTTTATGAGCATTGTTGACACTATGAATATTGAATGATGAATATGAATGATAAATGTTGAATATGAAAGATGAATATGAATGTTGAATGGTTAATAATGAATGTTGAATATTGAATATTGATTATTGAATATTTGAACTGAACATTATGTGCATGATATCAAATAATTTGATTATGAATTGAGATTCAATTTATATGGATGTTCGACGCATTAGATATGCTTACTCAACTTCAACGCTGAGCGTGTAGTGCGTTTTATTTGCTACTCACAGGTTAATAGAATGATGTGACATGATATTGGAGGCATACGAAGGCGAGATTATTAGAATAGATGTGATGATTTTGAATTGAAGAACATAAATAAGTTATGTTTGTGATTATGATTTGTTAAGCTTTGAAATATTGAAAACTCCGTACTGTTATGTTATGAAAAATAATATTGTGATAAATAAAAGTGTTTGAAATGTTATAAATTTTTACGATTACGAAGTTAATATTTTAGTCCGAAAGGGGCTGCAGACCTGGACAGATTATGGTGTTACAATATTTCTGAATTAACTATTTTCATTACAAAAATAACAAAGACAGTTTTAAATACCGGAGTACAAAATAGTGAATGTTTGAACAAATATATATGATTGGTATTGTGAAAGATATTATTCTCTGAATTCTTTTTTTGTGCCATGGTACCACTTGTCTTCATTGTTGAGCGTACAAACTTTTTCATCTTTTTACACGTATGTGTAAGAGAGAAAGAATGTGGATCCATCCGGGACGGTACTGAGATGGAGGCTATGTGTGGACATGCAAAAACTTACTATTTGAGTAAATGATTTTATCACATGTTAAATTATGGTCTTACCATACTGTTGTAATTTCAGAATTGCTTCCGCACTGTTTTAAATAATTATACTCTGTTGTTATTCCAAATATTTTTACAGTTGTTTTAAATAAAGTTTAATATGATTTAAATTGTGATGTTAATAAATTAATACTTTGGCCTGAAATGTAGATCTGGACAGATTTGGGTGTTACACGACAAGTGGCTACTGTCAGACTGTACTAAGCTACTATTTAACATGTGATGAAACACTGAAACTACTTGGAACAATGTATGAAAAGGGAAAGCGAAGTAGATAAAACTTTTAATAAGATACTAGTGCTCGCCTACCGTACAGGACTACCGACTAACAAGAATATTCTCCTCCCAAGATAAAACTACTAACACACAACAGACTCAAACAAACTGAAGTTGCGCCAGCGAATGTGAACGAGGAAAGGATAGTCATCAACTAGAAAAACCTTAATTTAAATTGGGTTTTCCGAAAAATTTGTCTTTGTTGGGCTCTCTAATAAGGAATAATCCACATGCGTAATTGAAATGTGACCATGCAAAAATATGTCCAATCACTTTTGAAAAAGGTTTGACTAGTCATGTTTATCGACTTTTTGCGTCTTCACAACCACCATCTATTTTTGACCGGTCATAATATGACCCTTCACTTTTAAGAAATTTTGACCGGGTGTTAGTTATACGTATCACATACTATAAAAGTTACACACCATTTTTGTAATGAAATTCATTGCTTTTTTACAAGCTACCTCATCCTTAAATATCTTCATTGCTTGTTTTTTTCATCGAACAACATGACTTTCAGTTTGTCTTCTATTGTAGGTTTCCTTGGTGAGATCTCTATCGCATTTTGATAAAGATGAATGAAATTGTGCAGGGTACATGTAGTAATAATGAATGAATTAATGATTTGAACTTGTTGTTGTAACACCCCAAAACCCAGATTAGTATTTTTAATTAATTTATATAATTAATTAATTATTGAGCCTGTCAATATGAAAAGTTATTTTCTAATTTGTGTATTGATGGGAGATAACTCCACGTCAACCTAGGGCTGACATCAGCAAGTATTTCACCGAAGGGAAGTATCGGGCGTGGACGACTCTGCTCGGCCCTCCCTGCTCAGCTCACGAGCTCCGCTCGGCCCTCCCGGCTCGGCTCGGCCTGCCAAGCCGAGCCCAAACCCCATGACAACGACGTGAAGAAAACGACCTGCGATAAGGACTTGATGGAGGACCCACTGTCACCGAAAGTCGTCCGACCCTCCTCTCCCCGTCGCGCATCAGGTCCGGCGTCACTATGGAATTGCAGCGACAAGTTCCTTCTCCTCCAATCCGGTTTCAACTTCTTCAAATTAGAGGTGAATCGTTGCTCAAATATCTATCGCTAGCTTTAATTCGTAGATTAGAATCTTATTTGTATGAGATTTGGCAATTGATTGTGAAATTGGAAAAGTTGATTGTTGGGTTGAGTTTGAGCTTGGAATTCCGGGTGTCCTCCGGCGATACGCCGGTAGGGGAGGCGACCAAGGCTGTTGGCCGCTGGGCTGGTTCCGTTGGGTTCAAGTCAGGTCGGTTGGGTCCAATTTTGGTAGATTAGGTCAATTGGGTCTTATTTGGGTTGTTTGGATGGTATTGGGTGGAATTTGGGCTCAGTTGGATGCAATTGAGTTGATTTTGGTTGAATTGGATGCAATTGGATTGATTTGGGTTCTAATGGATGCAATTGGGGGTGTTTGGGTGGATTGGGCTATTCGGGTTGGTCGTGGGGCTGCTAGGACTTGATGTTTGGGCCGTTTGGGCCGGCTGTCCGAAGGGGCAGCGGGCTGCCGGGTGGTGGGCAGCCGCTTGGAAGGTGTGGGTTGTTGATTTCTGGGCCATCGGGTCGGTTCGGCGGGTTGTTGGGCTGATCACATGGTAATTGATACTGTTCCGGTGGGTGCAGCGGGCTTGAGGATAAGTCCTTAGTCTCGAGTTCGCGACACATGTAGGTTATTTAAATGTTGTTGGGTTTAATTCTGTTGTTTGAGCATGACGGTAATCGGGGGAAGTGATTCTTCCGATAGGCCGCTGAGTGTGTTGTTCTATTTATGGGAATGTTTAAGTGATTGTTATCACTTGAGAACTCTGTTGAAAATTGGCCATCTAGTATACCTAGGCGGATCTGAACTGAATGGATAGTTTAATCACCAATAGGACTATGGTTAGGTTCGGGCCTTGTGGAGCATGTTTGCATATCCAGTGGTCCATGGTTCAAAACGTACGTACGGGAGTCACTGTTCTACCTAAAGGATTCCTTCGTAGAGACTCCAACCAGCCCATTGAGGATTCTCTTTGGGTTTGTCCGAGCATCGACCTCGAGGGATCCGCTCGAGTATCCGTAAATCTAGTCTCTTGAATTTACCCTTAGTGTTGTAGAGACAGAAATAGCCCATTGAGAATAAATTAATTGGAACTGTTGGGTCCTTGTAACAGAAAATAAATGTTGATTATTCACAGATGTTGCTGATTATATAAATGTGATACTATCTGTGAAATTAATTCTAGCGTTAGATATTTTCTCACTCAGCTTTCAGTTGAGCGTGTAGTCTTGTTGTCTTTGACTGCACGCAGGTAGGGATTTGGGATCAAGAGGGCCAACATGGAGGACGTTGACGCGTGACGTCGTGGATGATGTCACCATTTTTATTATGGACAGTTAAATTGTTGCGTTAATTAACTATTTGGGTTAAATAGTTATTATAGAACGTCATTTTGAGACTTCCGCACTTGATAGACTTTACTATGAACTTTTCGTATTTATTTTGGTGTTTGAACATTTTTGAATAGTTTGTCTAAATTGTTGCGTTGTGAATATCAACTTAGTAGCAACCCGATTCATTAACTCCTTATTTCAGGTTATGTGAGTTGGGGTGTTACAGTTGCTCTTGTTTCATTTGAGGCATTTGAGTTCTATTTATTTTGATTACGTCTTTGAGTTTACGTCGGATTGAAAAATAAAAATATTAGGAAAAATATTTTGATTACGTCTTTGAGTTCCTTTTATTTTTCCAAGTTCAAAAATGTGAACGGTTTCAAAATCAGACTCTGTTTGAAAAACAACCTGAATTTCAAACAGATAAACTATTACTTCCGAAACAGAGATTTAATCTCAAATCCCACATTCATTTCCCCCCAATTATTCCTAGGATTCCCCATCATCTCCTTTCCATCACCATGTTGGAACACCCTCCAACATCCACCACCACCAAACCTCCTTCCTCGCTTGGATTCTTGCTCCTTGGAGGTTGAGAGAGTGTGTCAATGTCCTCTCTCCTTCAATCCCTTATTTTCGAATAAAGGGAGACCCCTTCCCTTCACTCCTTCATTCCCACACTTAGAATATATAGGTCATCTTCTTCCCAAGCTCCTTCATCCACCATTAATGAAGGTTTGAAGAGCTATCACTAGGTAAGTGGTCATGTCCCATCCAATCGTTATTATACTCATTTTAACGCTCTTCCCATGACATATTCCTTTGCAATATCAAGCTTCGAAGAGAAGACCTCAATGCAAGGGAAGCTAGAAGTAGATAGTGACGGCCGTTCGTTGAACGTATGTGAGGTGTAGGATCATTGTTTCCCCAACGAACCCAGACTCGTCCCTACGTTAGATTCCTTAGAATCATTCATAATACATGATTTCTTTTCTATACCTATATGTCATTCTATGTTAGTTATACCGATAGTCTCGATAAAACGCTCAACTTTATATCCTTGAATCATCGATACTGGAGAATGCTCGAAATTGTGCCAAAAGACCTCATAAGGTTCCTACACAACTTAGGTATTCAAAGTAGAGTATATATAATCAATATATACACTTTTGAAACTATCCCGTAGCTTAAAACGGACCCAAAAATACGTAGGAACCGTCAGGGGATCGATCCCCGGCGCTGGATCGATCACCCGGCGATGGAAAAGAGCCCCAGATCCCATTTTTAAGGTTCGGGGGATCGATCCACATTCTTGGATCGATCCTTTGGAGTAAATTTTGTTAAAGTACAGTTTTTCTTGATTCGGGGGATCGATCACCCCTTCGGGGATCGATCACCCGACGTCCCAACTCAAATTTGAACTGTTTTTCAATGTTGTATAGATAATAAATCTTTGGTATTTGTTTGAGTGATTTATGACCATATTTTAACTTTCAAAAACACTAATAATGAATGTTTTGGACTATACAAACTATAATACCAAAATTGATTATGTCAAATCATATTTCCCTGATGTGCTATTAACCAAACGATATCATGGGATGGGTTGGACTAGCTAGAAGAATTACAGTACTATATTATGTGGGTTAAATTTGAGTCCTAACATGATCCAATGCATGAACATGATTTAATGATGTCTAATGATTAAAATGATATTTTATATGGATGATATTATGTTGGAGGCCTTATGGTAAAACTTTATATGCTCCAATCCGTCATGACGGCGACATTAGTAACCAAAAAGGTATTTTTGGATAGTTTAAATCTAGATTATTTCTAGTGATAAATAGTATGGATTTGAGTGTATAGATGTGGGCGATATTAGGAGTTGAGTATGTACGTACATAAGGTCCTAAAACCGGTCAGGAGCCCGGGGATCATTCAACCCATGCACCCGGAACGAGAAGAGTAATTATACCCAGACTGAGAAAGGCTACGTAACAAATTCTGAACTTGAATAGAAGGGTGCTCGAACCCAAATTTAGACAGGGGAAATCTTATCGAGTCTACCTCTACGGAGAACGACTCAGTATAGCATGAGGATAAAACATAAATGGTTGAAAAAAAAGGGATGTCACTATTATCGTACAGTGATTGGTTAAATGAAGGATGTTGATTTACTCTTAGATATGAATTTGTTTCTATTACAGATACTCTCTCAATAAAATGATTGAACAATAATGATTAATGAGTTATCAATCTATGAATAAAGTTTATTTGGAAATAATACCATTTGTTTTAATAAGTACTTTGGATACGTATTATTATTATACGAAGAGATGCTCTTACACCTTATCGTAAAATGAAGAATGTACGAATTTTATAATTAAAGGTTTCACAAAAAAGAAATAAAGTGGATTTTCTTAAATAAAATGGTTTAAAAAGGGTATTGATTCCCGTACACATGTGAATATGTTTTATGAATTATTCTATGAAATTTACGTTGTGGTACCACTTAGCGGTTTCGCTGAGCACACAGTTGTCTTTGTTGTGTGACTGTGCGTAGGTAATAAGCTATGACGTCCATCCGGAAGATGCTGAGGCGGGAGAGTTGGCAGAAGGATGCTTGGAACTGTTTTTAATAATTTAAATTAAAGTATTTAGGGACTTGAACCCATATATGTAATGATGTTGAATCTTACTTAGCTACCACAACGATTAAATTAAATTACTCGAAAATTATTTAATCATGTTTTGAGGAGACTATGTTTTAAATGCTTTTTAAATTACTGTTACCATTATTTTTAAAAGATTATGGACTGTTACTTTACCAAATTGCTAGCGCTTTGGTACGCTAACCAAACGTGAACTGGGTTATGCGAATCGGACTGTTACACTTAGAGCATGTACATTATAAAAATTATTAGTGTATGCACATTTAAAAGTAATGTAATGTTTACATAAAAAATAAAGTACGCAATTATTTTGGTCAAAATTTTAAAACGTTGACAAGAACATATTTCAAAAAAACATAGTTAACAAAAATTCAAAATCACAAAGGAAATTATAAATTAATTAATTTAAGATTTTAATAATTTATGCGACTCAATAATCATAACTAAAATTTATATCCAAGACACAACTTTTGAATAAATTGTAACATTAAATCAATTTTTTATTTTATTGAGATGATGATGATGATGATAAATATGAAAATAAACCTAAATAATTTCTTAAGTCATTGTTGTAAGAAGTCCGAAAAAAAGAAAATAGACTAAAATAGTAGTAAAACATTGAAAATTTACCAAAATAGAAATTCCAAATTTTTTCCCACGAAATAGGACTTCTTTTGGAAAAAGTTGGAAGGAGTTGGCCAGAAAAGGAAATGTTTTTTGAACCAGAGGGTGCAAAAGAAACTCGAAGAACATTTCTTCTCGTTAAAAAAACAATTCTGTTTTGATTTTTTTGTCAAACGGTGACACCCTTTAACCACAAATTAAATATAATATAAATAAAAAATGATATATCTTTTACATGTTTGTCTCTCCTTTCGACTTTCTCCCTCCGTCCCATAAAATATTTCTGATTTTGTCTTTTAAAAGATTTAAAGTGAGTGTCTTTTGCTGTTGACTTTCCAAAAATATTCTTGGATGTGATTTAGGTAAAAATAGATGTGATGGGTAGATTAATAGTAAAAAAGGTGTCATATGATAGATAAATTAAGAGTTAATGGGGCTAAAAATGACTTTTTAATAGAAATGAGAATATTTTTTGGAATCGATGAAAAAAGAAAAGTGAAAAAATTTGTGGGACGGAGGAAGTTTTAGACAACAAATAGTTCATAAATAAAAAGTTTTTTTTGAAAGGAATAGAAAAAGAAATTAAGAAGTTTATACTGAAATGGAATGAATATTTTGTTTGATCGGGGAATGAATATGTTAATATTGCAAATTTTGATGGATTTGCGCCACATTTAATGTTTTAGGAAGTAGGAGTAATCAAATTGACACGACACGGAAATTAGGGGAATAGAGCAAATGATATACTCCGGTAATTAATTTTTTTGAAAAAAAGAGACCGTAATTAATAGCCCAAATCGGCCTATTTTAATTAAATTTCCTAAGTTGTTTGGTACCTCGTGTCTCTACAAATCTTTGACTTTCAAACTCCTATCCAAAAACCCCATCGCCTTTAAATACGCCAAAACCCCTCCCCCCGTGTCTCCCACTTTTCTCTCTCTCTCATAACCAAAACTCTTTCTCTCTCCTCTCTCTTCTCTCTCCTCTCTTCCCATGGCCGTTGGAGCTCCTCCTCAATTCAATTTCGGGCAGATCCCTTTCCCTTCCGATCCAATGCTGCCCGAGGCTGCTAGGGCACCCATGAATCATACTTTTTCTTCTTATCTCTTGCCGGAGGTATCCAGAAAGCGGGTCAGAGACGACGAGTTCGTTATCCCCTCCGGCGAAGTCTACCAGTATGAGATTGACCGGATTGTGTTTAATCATGTAAGCATTTTCTGGAAAAGTAAACCTCTGTTTTCAATGAACTAACATTATTCTCGTGGGATTTAATATTAATTTAATCCGCTGTTTTATTTACAGACGAAGAAGCTGAGAATGGAATTGCAAGAGAGGCAGAGGCGGGAGACGAGATTACTGGCGGCGGCGATCGGAGAAGGCGTCGGGAAGTTGGTGCGGGAGAAAGACGGGCAGATTCAGATGCTGGGGAAGCTGAACTTCGCCCTCCAGGAGCGGGTCAAAACCCTCTACCTGGAGAACCAGTTGTGGAGGGACTTGGCACTCACCAACGAGGCGACTGTCAACTCCCTCCGCAACGACCTCGAGCAAGTCCTGGCGCATGTCGCCGCGGAGGAGCACGTCTCCGACGGAACCGTCACCGCGGCGGCGGCGGCGGAGGAAGACGCCGGGTCTTGCTGTGACAGCAGCAATTCGGCGGCAGAGGAGGTGGTGGGGCAAGGCGGTGGCGTGAGGATGTGCCGGAGATGCGGGGTGAAGGAATCTAGTGTGCTGCTGCTCCCATGTAGGCATCTGTGCCTTTGCACGATGTGTGGGTCCACCCTGGTTTCTAGGTGTCCTGTTTGTTCTTCCAACATGAATGCCACAGTACATATAAACATGTCTTCTTGAATTTTCATAGGAGTATAATATTAAAAAAACAACAAGGGAACATGCTTATAGGCTTTTTTTTTTCTTTTTTGTTATGATTATTTTTTTGTTTTATTGTTAAAGCATGGTGTAGACCATTTTCTTGTACATTATCTTGGATATCAATTATTTATTCTTTTTTTAATAACATCTTTTAATTATTCGCTTTTCCCAAATCCCAACAATTCATCTCTCCGAGTCTCCGATCCTACCCCTTTTTTTTAAATTATATCTAGAGTGTTGTTTTGTAATGATAACTGTTCCGGAATTATTACCTTATTAAAGTGAAGGTATACACACACACACATATATATATATTACAGAGTTAATATTCTGGTCACCTGATAATTTTAATTTATTTGTTTTTTTGTTTTTATTTACTAGTTGATAAAATAAATAAATTCTAATAGTATTTATTTATAGAATTTTTGATGTACTTTTTAAAATGTAAGTTGCATTATTATTTATATACTAATTTGTAAATAGATCAAATTTAAAATGCATGAGATTTTGCATGCCCTTGGAAATATGTAATCTAATTTAGGAGAGAGGAAGTACAAATTTTAATATCATTAAAAAAATTCAAAAAAAAAAAATTTAAGGTTCATCACAAATACCTTTTCAAGTGAAGTTGTAGTTGAGTTTTATACTAGGTACTCCCTCCGTCCCAAAATAAAAGTTACATATATTTCATCGTTTGCCTATCTAAAAAAAACTTCTATCCTCCTCTAAAATGCCTAAAATTTATCATATATACCCTTTACTGCGGGTAGGAGTCGTTTTAAATGTTTTTTGGCATTTGAGATGATATGAAAGTGTTTTACAGGATATGCAAAAAATGAAATGTAATCTTCTTTTTAGAACGAAGTAGGTATAAGTAAATAGAGTTTTATACTCCGTAATTATTTGAATAACTTCATCACCAATCCAACTTAGAATTATGCTTAAAACAAATTGGTGAAAAAAATTATTTTGAAAATTACTGCATATAATATGTTTTCACCAAATAAATAAATTACCCAAAGAAATACGGAGTAGAAGATGTGACGGTGGTGGTACCCACAGTGTCCTGGTCTGTGACAGCAATTTATTATATTAAAATCACAATTAGTTGTACAATTTAAATCATGTCCTTATTTATATCTTTGATAATTAGGCAAATCAACGACAATTGATATTTTGTTTGATAATGGGGAAAGGGAATTGGCTTTGGTCAATTCCTTGATTGGTTTTCATGGAGTAATTAATTTCATAACGGGGGTTGGAGTAATTATGTTTACATGTGTGTGTTTCCTCACATTATTATACCATTACTATTTTGGGCATGTATGAGTGACACCCAAAAAGATGGAAGAATTCACGGGTTCTTTATGTTTTTATTGATTGTTGAAAATGAATGGCGAAAAACATTGAATGTGAAGATTTCTTCCATCATCAACCCTTTTAATTTTTGTGTAATCTTTTTATTTATCTATATACATACCATTCTCGAAATTAAAATACAGTTTCGCGTGAAATAAGAAAATGATATTTGATGAGGAACCACATAGTTCTTTCTTTAAAAGAAGATTATGCTCCTTCCGTTTAAAAAAAACTCTTAGTTACTATTTACATGTTAACCTAACTCTGTTTCTGCATACATTTTCATTAATCATTTGGTAAAATAAAATTTTTTTGTCAAGACTTGTTTTGTAGAACCGTTAAATTAATTTTATAATGTAGTATAATTTTTAGTCATGAAACACAATTTTAACTTATATTGATTTGAAAATAATTTCTTTCAAAATTGTAATATGAACGAGAGCCTTATTTTGGAACGCAGAGAGTATACAAACCTCCCATTGACATTAGTTCATGGTTAGATTCCTAAGAGCAATTTAAAATAATGTTAAAGTTTTAAAATATTAATTTACACCGTTAAAATTCAAACAAAATTGCTAACGTACGTTAATCATGAATCGTTGTTTGCAAATGGGTCAATACTTTTGAAACAAATGAAAAATGAAAGTGATAACATAATTATTTTTTGTTTTTAACAATATTATGGTGTAATGTCGATGGATACATATCTTGTCAATTTCTGAAAACACAATTCATTATAAGCACATGATTGAGATTATATCATGATTTACCTCCCTCACAATCTTGTCGGGTCGGAGTGTGGGGACGTCCAAGGTGAGCGTTTCACCTGAAGACACAATGAATTAGGATGTGTTTCGTTCGCCTGATCTGATTTTTTGAAGTTCTGATCTGATTGGGTATGATCTCATCTGATCCGATTGGATCTGAAATTAATTTGATTAAAATTAAAATTAAATTTTTATAATAATAATAATAGAAATATTAATAATAATAGTAATAATAAAATAATAATAATAATACTAATAGTAATAATAATAATAGTCATAAGAATAGTAATAATAATAATAATAACTATAATACTAATAATAATAGTAATAATAATAATAGAGATATTGATAATAAAAGAAATAATAATAATAGAATTGATAATAATTGTAATAATAATAATAATCATAATAATAGTAATAACAATTTTAGTACTAATAATAAAATTAATAGTAATAATTATAATAACAATATTAATAATAATTATAGTCATAATAATAATGGTAATAGAAATAATAACAATAATAATAATAGTAATAATAATAATAGAAAAAATAATAATAATAGTTGTAATAGTAATAATAGTAATAGAAATAATAGTAATAGAAATAATAATAATAATAATAATAATAATAATAATAGTAATAGTAATAGTAAATGTAATAATAATAGTATTAGTAATAATAATAGTAATAATAATAATAATAGTAACAATAATAATATTATTAATTTTAATAGTAATAATAATAATAGTAATAATAATAATAACAATAGTAATAATAATTATAATCAGAATATTAATAGTAAAAAATAATACTTATAATAATGGTAATAATAATAAAAATAAAAATATTAATTTTGTTTAGATTTGGTCTGATCTGATCTAATTTGATTAGATCTAGTCTGATTTAATTGGATATGTCGTGATCTGATTTGGTACGATCTGATTTTAATAAAAATAAATAATAAGCAAAAAAAAATAAGGTTAGTGACGTGACCTTTCATTAGGGATAGTTAAGGACTTAAGGTTATATCAATTTTGCAAAGTGGTTTATTTCATCATCATAGATATGGGGGAATGAATCGGTCCACCAAGGGAAGGTGTTGGGGGTGCATGACAAAAGAATCCTACTTTGGAGATTGTGTTGATAGGACAAGCCCCATTTGGGCATTGTGTGGCCCCTCCCTCCATATGTGAATTAGGTCCTTTGCAGCATCACATTTGTCATATAACAATGGCATGACTAATGAATTTGTCTTGCTCATTTATGGTCACTTTATTAAGTATTGGATGGAGGGTAGCTATTCCACGACGATTTTAGCACTCCCATGCCCATTATATTTTGTGGGTCCTACTTGTACCTTTTTTTTTTGTTTTTTTTTATTATTCGTTTTCTACATTTTTTACTTTGTACCGGTTTTGTGTTGAATATCTCTAAAATTAAGTAAAGAATTATTCCCACTATCCTAAAACTATTTTCCCGTTTATTTTTACGATGTTTGACAGACTTTATTTTCAATTCAATTTATTTGATTGTAAGTTTAAAATTATAAAATAAAATTTAATTGTATAAAATAAAATTTGATTGTAAGTTCAAAAAGTAATTTCTGTAGTAGTGAATTAAAATAATACACAAATTTGTATGAGATTTGTGACAACACTTTCGTATTGATTATTTGAGCGTTTAATCCAAAATCAAATAGATAAAACTCTGATCAAGAACAAGTATGAAATTGTGATGAATTATCGAACATGATATTTCGATCTATAGAAGAAAAAGTTTAAATCACACCACCCAATTTTAAAAAATTAGCATTTCAGTTGGTTATTTGACATATATATCTTTAAAATGTTAACTCAGCTACAAACTCAAACTTAACTTATGGTAAGAGCGGATGAATATATGTTGCAAGAGAAAGCGGCTAAAATATGAGTAAACATTGAAAATATATTGAAATAAGAGTTTCACGTTTATTCCGAAAATAGGAGCTAAAAGGCATTTAGAGTATAAATCATGACCATTTACATTAACAAAAAGTATTATGAAGTGCCCATATACAGTACCACAATATTATAGTGCAAACTTCTATTTTGAAAAATAAAACTATGAAGCTCTTATTTTAATAGTTTCTCAATATTTTCCTTCTATTTAGGGTGATTTCTTATGTTGCATACTCTTACTCCTAAATAACAAAGGAGCCGGGGTAATTATTAGTCACATCTTCTAGATTTTTGTTTAAAAAAAATAAAAAGAAGAAGGATGGAAAAGTTTAGAGATTTTTTTTTTTTCATTTATCTTGGTTGAAACGGTGGATGATGATGATGATGATAATTCAAAAAATGGGGTGAAGAATGTCAATTATGAAGTGGGGATATGATGGGTGATTGGTGTTTTGTTCGGTGGTTCCAAATTTCCCAATGGTAAAAGCAAATGCCCAAAAGGGGGATGAGAAGTTGGGGATAGTGCCAAGCAAGTCACTTTAACATTAGAGGCAACAACAGTGGTGTGAAAGCAATGGCTAATGGAAGAAGAAATATGATCTTATGCATTGAAGTCTTGAAAGTCACGGGTCCCAACTTTTCACATGAATGAGGCCCGCCTTTAAGCCTAGTGTCACCCTTTTAGAAAATATATTGGGGTCCAAGCATTTAACTTTTTTTTTTTGGGCATAATAATAGTCGAAAGACAGGTTGGTTGAGCCATCATCAATGAGATTTTGATACATATTTTTTTTCAAAAAGTTTATCCTCTTTGAATCAATACAATTTCTAATCAAATATAAACTACTCGATGGGTAATTGAAAACTTCAAAGATTAAAAAAGGAATCGCTAGCCATATAAGATTATTCCTAAAATATAGAAATAGACGCATCTTTTTTTTTTGAAAAAATAAAGTGACACGG